CGAACAAACGTGCGTTTATATTACAAATTAACGCGAATCTCATAAAATCAACAGAATATTTTTTATACCAATAAAGGTTATGTAAAAGCTGAGTACCATCACCGGTGCAAATGTTAAAACTTTCGTGTAAAATTATTTCAAAGCAACAGACAAAAATTTCTAACGTCGAAATACATTGAATGTATTGATTTAAAAGAACGTGATAAATACCTTCTCCAGCAAGTTAGCAATTTGATAAGAGACATTAGCCATGATTGAAAACTTTTTCACAGCCGGTTACAGTTGCTGTTCTCAATATTTTTACGTTCCGATTCAACAAAAAGAACAGAAAATTACAATGTTTCCAGGGAAGAGGCGACACTGAATTTGATCCCGTTCGTTCGAGCGAAGATCTTCTTAGAAAAACTTGATTTTAATGAAATTTCACCGCCCGCAACATTTCAATACTGCGAATCTTTACCGCAACTTCGACTGCCAAAATTTTGATGGTAATCGTGCGTTCCTGAATCTATCAGAACGGCAATCACCAGAAACAAATATCAGAAACGCTTAATCGTGATTGGTCGGGCATCTTCATCGTGATTCGAAATTTCTAAAAGCAACTGCAGAAAGTCATTATTTATTATTTTACAATTACTCTCTGGTTAATGTCATTTGCAGTATATGCCATTCTGTCTTATAAATTTCAATTAAGAATTACATTAAAAGAACATTCGTATCTTTCGTATGATACATCAGTTTTATTGAAATATATTACATTCTTAAAGCTTCAAAGTCTTAGAAAATTACTTATAATTAAATTGCGGATTCTATGCAGATATAACGTATGTTAATGTTGTAAAAGACAATATGGAAAAATTCGTACAAAGTTAACAACATTTTTAATAGCTTTGAATCTAATAAAGGGTTTACTAACGAAATTAACTTATTATCTCTAATTCATACTGTTGTAAAGATGAATATAAATGTTTATATTTGCACGAGTATCCGCCAGTCTACTTATAATACTGAACATATTTCAAACTCCTGGTATTGAAATGTAGTAAACTTATCTCTCTTATTTTTTATCACATACTTGGAAACTTAAAAGTTTTTCTAGTGTATTAATAAAATATAAATTAGTTACGTTTATGCTACATATAAAAAATAAATAATTACTGTAGCAACAGACAACAATGAAATAATATTACACTGCTGAAAAACATTATAATCATCAAGGATTTAATCCAATTCATTTCCTGCCTCTTCGTTTGCAATTTGATCCTCAGTTTCCTATCAATGATAAACCATTGTTAAAAGGATTTTCTAATAGAGAAATGTATGCTACTGAAAAATCTGAAAAAATTACGTGTGGTCCTGGACAATCTGTAGCTTCTTTCGAAGAATTTTGATTAAGGAAACATGTAATTGGTTTCTGCCAATCAGGTGTGTCCCTTGGATGATATGGATTACCACCCGAATAATTCTTTCCTAAAATAATACTTTTGAAATTTTCCTGTGACAGACATTGAGAAAAAAGTATACGTGCACTGTTGGATTTTCTATCAACTGTTCCAAGTTAAAAGTGCTTTATAAATTACTGTAGATTGTACAACAAAAGTTTAAACTTTGTTCTTACATTAAACACACTTTTGTTAGTTAAAACAAGACACAGTGCTCTATAAATATTACTTCATTTACCTTTACTGGTTCCTGTCACTTTTTTTACGGGGGTACTTTTCACGGATTTAGCTGGTGCTTTGGCGCCAACGGCTACAAAGATCGTAAACAATGATTTTAAACAACATTAATTGAGAATCATAATATAAGGGAACAAATATTCTACGTCCAATTTTGAGCTTCAAATTGAACGATGAAAGATCGAACACTGGATCGAAGTCAAGGAAACAGGAAAAAAATGATTTTCAAAATCAATGGAAAATTTACAGCAGCGTTTATTTACCTTTGCCTGGTACGCGGTCTGCCTTTGTCCTCACCATTTTTTCAAATTAAAAAGTTTTCGAATCAATGTTTTCAAAGTACAAGAGAAAACAGAGCTGCTAATATGAAATTTTCGTTGTAATGCACGTTATTCAAATCATCCCGTAAGTCCCCATTAGCATGTGTATTACCTGCTCCAAACAGGTGGGCCAACCCGAAGACGATCGTGATAACTACGTTTGAAATATATCGATGAAGCAAAATTTTAATACTCATCATTCTCTGTGTTCGTAGATTTAAATATATATGTACTCGATGTAACAATACATTTTTTTTATATTTTTATTAAAAAAGAGACTCATCATTGCAGATCATAACAATTTCAATAAACTGAAAATACTTTGAAACTGCATTACACTCGAAGGAACATTTACAGTTTTATTTAAAGTTTAGCATTGTAATAGCAAAGTAATGTTACATTTAATATATTTGTCAAAGAAAATTTTCTCATAAATACGTTCTTAGCAAACGGACGACATTGTGGACTGTTCCAGTTATATGATATATTTCACGAGTGACTTATCATTGTTGAATCACGTCATATCTATGTATAATAATTATATATATACATATATATATAATATAATACTGATATGGCGAAATTTCATTGTCTCGCAATACTAACACATCTCAAGGTGAAAAGAATGTGCACGTTAAGATTCATCGTTAATAAAAAGTAAAACAAACCAAAATACATAAAATAATTTATATATGTGTACATATAGCTACATGTATATCTATGTTACACTGAACAGGCCTTTGTTTAGATGACGCATGGCTTAGACAC